GTGATAGCTAGGTGGTCGTACAGAACCCGCATACAGGTATATGGCTGTTCCATTGTGTATTTTATATGACTTAGATGATAATATTTCCTCTGATGATACACAATGGAACAGCCATATACCTGTATGCGGGTATATGGCTGTTCCATTGTGTATATTATATGACTTAGATGATATTATTTCCTCTGATGATATGCTTTTCCATTGTGTATTTTATATGTCTTAGACGATAATATTTCCTCTGATGATATGCTGTTCCATTGTGTATTTTTTGAAAACAATGCAGAATATCGTAATCTTCACTCACTCTAGCACCAAAAGTAGAATGTTTGTCCCTCAGGTCTATTTGTACACCTTGGTCCGTATTCATGAAGCCGTGCCAATGCTCAAACATACGGTTTTGTGCTCGAGCCTAACGTCTTGTTCTGGCTATAAATTAATAATAAAATCTTATTTTGTCAATGATTTGGAAAAGAATTGAAGAGACTTAAAGCCAAAACCTGTTTTCAATATTAACATTTTATTCTTTGATCTTTTGATATGATTTAAGTGAGTTACAAGAAAGCTGGTTTAAGCACATAGTCCATGCTTGAGCATGAGAACGGTTTCACGAGTACCGGCCCTGATCGTAAGACATGCACCTGTAAATTTAAAGAAGCCATTATTTTGCAATACACATATGGCATCTGATTGTTGTCCACAAAAAATTACACATAAAACTTACCAATGATGGTATAGTGTGATGGGACAGTGTTTAAAAGTTCATAGTAGAAAAAAATACCAAAAAGAATAAAGAGTAAACATTTACTAGAACTTGAACCCTTTCACCCCTATGTAACTTTAATAAATAAACTCCACTGTAAGATGATCTGGATGAGTTCATAATTGTCTATTAGTGTTAAAGGGTTAAACATTAGAGGTGTCTCAAGCTCCATAAAGTCTAGCATAAAAAGAATAAGAAATGTATTGTAATATGTGTTATATCGTTGAGTAAGTGTATTGTCCCTAATACTTTATCAGCTATGACAGTCTGCGACCTTATTGGCTCCACCTGCAAAGGTTTGGCTCCTCTCTGTCTATTCCGTACTGTTATATTCATGAATAAACTTCTTGTTCCCAGACTGATGTCTCCGGCATAGCTACAGATTCAATTTGAGACCCCTCATGTGATCAGAGTGATGCTGATCTGAGAACAATGTTTCCATTGAGGCTTAATTATATGCGTGACACGTATATATAGCTTGGGGACATTTCGTAGGCTGCATGGGGGGTAGGGATGGGGTATACTCTCCGACCTTATCAAGTATTTCTCCGCCAAAACAAGTAACACATAGGTAGATTTGATTTTGCCGAATTAACACGTACCTTGCAGGAATATTGGCGCTATGGGTGAGACAATACAAGGGTGATCTCATTAGTGACTGTGCTAATCGCATTAGTGACTGTGCTAACCTCATTAGCGATTTTGCTAGCCTCATTAGCAAACAGTGCAAATCTCATTAGTAACTGAGCAATATCATTAATAATACTTGCTTTGTTTTGTGCTTTTTACAGGTCGGTGTACAGTTCAAAGTGTGGTATATACATTTAAGCATGGTTATAACAGCTCACTTTGTACTTGTTTCCGCAAAACATCTAAAGGAGGTTTTTCTGCTATTGATGTTAAATGTTTGTATTATCACCTGCTTGGATTAAGGATTGATTAACTACAGTATATATAAGCCTTCATTAGGTCATTGATCTATCAAGTTGAATATAAGTTGGTGATATTTTTATAATTGAACATATAATACTGTATTATTTATATGTGTCCTGGAATTCAAAATAATCAATCACAACCATTTGTGCCATATTTACATCTTTTGACGCCTTTTAACATATTTAGCTTTTGTTTGATAATTACTTCTTTTTGTGAAATTTTATTTTAATAGTGTTTTGGCACTTAATGCTAAAATTGTCAATGGGCTGTTTAACAATACCAAACCAAAACAATACATTACCAATCTTCCAAGTGAACCCCCAAACCTCAACCCCAGACCCCGTAAAGTCAGGTTACCTTCCGACATTTACAAGGAGCCCCATAATGAGTAGTCTGATAGCGGTCTGCCATGCACGCCCCTCACCTGTACCGTCTTACTAATAGTGTGTACATGCACAGGAGGGCAATAACGATTTTATTGTGTAAATTTGTGAACATGCGTAGCCCCTTTAGGGGGTTAGTTAGGGTCCACATGACAGTTTGTGGGTGTTCTGGACAGCATCATGCACTGCATGGAGTGGCAAACACATTAAAAGGAATCTTTATCATTAAAAATCAGCAAAACTTGCAATATTGGACAGGGCTATTGCCTTGAGATAGGCCCTTGGAGGCCATTTCTGGTAACCAGCTTGCATATCAATGAGTGTAAGGAAACTTTTATTGCCAAAAGAGTGAAATTTACATTGTTAAACATAAACAGACTGAGCTATTTACATTGTTAAACATAAACAGACTGAGCTATTTACATTGTTAAACAAAGACAGACTGAGCTTTAGTCAGTAATATCTTTATCTACCTTCAGCCGATGCCTCAGAATTATCTTCAGATTTGGTTATAACTGGTACACAATTGTTCCTTTAACCTTACATTTGTGTCATACATTGAACACTTGGTTAGTTGTTACTTTCAATTTTCAAAAGCATAGAAATTCAGGTGTCCTCTGGTAATTCTGCTTTCTTACATAATAGCTAGTATTCAGAGTTATCAAGGTATTTCTCCTTGACTCATGTAATGGTGTTCAGTTGTCATGGTGATTCTGCCTTCTTCCATAATGGTGTTCAGTTGTTATGGTATTTATGTCTTCTCACATAATAGTGTTCAATTGTCTTAGTAATTTTGCCTTTTCACATGATATTGTTCAGTTGTCATGTTATGCTACTTTATAATTCACATGATGGTGTTGAGTTGTCATTGTAATTCTGCCATTTCTCATAATTTTCCCCACTCATATAATGATGATCAGTTGTCATGGTGATTTTGCAAATTAAATTCTCTTGTGTAGTTGTCATAACATTCCTATAATCATGTGGTAGTAGGCAATTGTCTTTGTTAAATTCCTCACAATTTGTCCTGATTTCTCTGCCTAAACACATGACAGTGTTTTGCTTCCTTTTTGCTTCCCTTTTAAGTTTAAAGTGTATGTATAGTTGTCATATAGTTATATACGATTGTCATAGTCAGTTGTTGATGTAGCTGTGTAGTTGTCATATAGTTATATATCAGTTGTCATAGTCAGATGTTGATGTAGCTGTGTAGTTGTCATATAGTTATATATCAGTTGTCGTAGTCAGATATTGATGTTGCTGTGTAGTTGTCATATAGATATATATCAGTTGTCAAAGTCAGATGTTGATTTAGCTGTGTAGTTGTCATATAGATATATATCAGTTGTCAAAGTCAGATGTTGATGTAGCTGTATAGTTGTCATAGTAATATATCGGTTGTCATAGTCAGATATTGATGTAGCTGTGTGGTTGTCATATAGATATATAGCAGTTGTCAAAGTCAGATGTTGATGTAGCTGTGTAGCTGTCATATAGTTATATATCAGTTGTCAAAGTCAGATGTTGATGTAGCTGTATAGTTGTCATAGTAATATATCAGTTGTCAAAGTCAGATGTTGATGTAGCTGTATAGTTGTCATAGTAATATATCGGTTGTCATAGTCAGATATTGATGTAGCTGTGTAGTTGTCATATAGATATATAGCAGTTGTCGTAGTCAGATATTGATGTAGCTGTGTAGTTGTCATATAGATATATAGCAGTTGTCGTAGTCAGATATTGATGTAGCTGTGTAGTTGTCATATAGATATATAGCAGTTGTCGTAGTCAGATATTGATGTAGCTGTGTAGTTGTCATATAGATATATAGCAGTTGTCGTAGTCAGATATTGATGTAGCTGTGTAGTTGTCATATAGATATATAGCAGTTGTCGTAGTCAGATATTGATGTAGCTGTGTAGTTGTCATATAGATATATAGCAGTTGTCGTAGTCAGATATTGATGTAGCTGTGTAGTTGTCATATAGATATATAGCAGTTGTCGTAGTCAGATATTGATGTAGCTGTGTAGTTGTCATATAGATATATAGCAGTTGTCATAGTCAGATATTGATGTAGCTGTGTAGTTGTCATATAGTTATATAGCAGTTGTTGTAGTCAGATATTGATGTAGCTGTGTAGTTGTCATATAGTTATATATCAGTTGTCAAAGTCAGATGTTGATGTAGCTGTGTAGTTGTCATATTGTTATATATCATTGTCATAGTCAGATATTGATGTAGCTGTGTAGTTGTCATATAGTTATATAGCAGTTGTTGTAGTCAGATATTGATGTAGCTGTATAGTTGTCATAGTAATATATCAGTTGTCAAAGTCAGATGTTGATGTAGCTGTGTAGTTGTCATATAGATATATAGCAGTTGTCAAAGTCAGATGTTGATGTAAATGTATAGTTGTCATAGTAATATATCAGTTGTCAAAGTCAGATGTTGATGTAGCTGTTGTCCCTTTAAGTCATTCTAATCTGATTGTTTTCTGTCGTTGTCATTAAACGTTGTATTATGTAAGGATGAAAACTGTACTGAAATGCCACAAAATGTTAATAGATATATTTCTTCGTAAAACATGTCACCTATTAGTTACAATCCCCTAGATAACAGTTAATCGAAACTCCAATAAATCAAAATACCTACTACATCTTCATACATTGTCACCATGTATAGTTTATGTGGGTGTTTTAGAAAGGGTCACATAGCTCTGTGACGAGTGTAGGCTATATTTGGATACCTGTTGATGTTATCATTGTTACCTTTCAAAACATGCCTTATAAAGTGTTAAATATTGTCACAGAGGATCGTCCTTCAGCTACATCAACATTTGTTGATCTTTTCTAAAACAAAACAATGAGCTTCATCCTGATTGCTGTATAATCTGACAATGTGTTTTATAAATAATTAAATAATGTATTGGATCAACCTGTCCCAGGAGAAAGTTATAGTGAAGGACATCCATTAGCAGTTTATAGAACGTATGGATGACAGGTTTGGCTCGGGGGTCTTATGAACTGTGTCTAGAAAGTTTATAAAAAGCAAATCATTTCTAATCATGTCTCATACACAAGTATCCATATACCCTACGGGGACGTGAGTCTGTCCTGAACGTGACTGGCGGATGGTGGAGCAGGTTATTGATGTGGTACAAGGGGGGAGCCGTTATACTTAGCCTCCTCGGATCAGGCTACACTCTGGACATTAACACGTTATAGGTCGGATACAAGGGAAAATGATTATATGTCTCTTTGTAACTACCATCTTGATTATTGATCTAGCTACGAATTCAACCAACAAAGATGAACAAAAGGCTCTGTATAAACAAATTTTGCCAGAGATTTATGCTGGACAGTATCGGCTCCGATGATTTACCTGAACAAGTTAACAGTTACAGAATGGCAATGTTTTTGTTGTGACTGTGTGACACGGTGTATGCTGTGGTTTCTGATGAATTCTGCTTCATTGTTAATCGACTGGATCTGTGTACGGCATAAAAGATTCACTCCAGCGAGTTGGAAGTATTAGAATGGAGTAGCAGGGATGTAACGGTGGATCAGAGGATATATGTATGGAGTGTGCTTTTCCGACACCAGACCGTGGATCGGAGGATATGTATGGGGCGTGCTATTCCGACACCAGACCGTGGATCAGAGGATATGTATGGGGTGCTGTGCTATTCCGACACCAGACCACAACCGTTTAACTTTGACTGGATGTAACTTATGGAGGAGAGAATGCTTCCTGAAGAGGCTGTGGCATTGATTGGGCCCCCTGTCCATGTGTACCATACAGGATATTACAGAACACCAGCTTTATACTGGTCCCGTGGAATAGCACACATCATATACCACTAGGCCGTTACACCAGAGAGGATGCTCATGTCATACTGCAAAACTTATTTAACACCATAAAACATGGATATGTACTTTAAGATAATACTCTGAAGGGGTTGACATCACTCTCTATTCCTTATATATTACGGTACCGTATACATTTATCTTCTGTGGTGTTAAAGTTTTGGAAACATCGGATTCACAGTATTGATTTTACTTACAATTTTGTGAATACTGTACATAAATGTTTTGTTTTTTTTGATTGTTGAGGATTTTCATTGGTGTTACACTTCGGGAGTAAACTTGGATTTTGCCATTTACAACATTCCATAGATTTCTCCAAATCTGCCTTACCTCTGTAACAATCCTTCTCTGTGAGCTTACTGCAGTGATATAACGGGAAAATGTGATGTCACATAAAAAAAAGAGTGGTCCTCGTCAACCTTACATTGCCTCGGGTTATAAAGCTGTGTGCATACTAATCCATACCTATCAAGATAATGAAATTCCACGCCAGTAAATTCTCCGGATTTCCAATTACTGTAAGTAGTTAGTGGTCGTATGATGAAGGTGCAATGGAAGCCTCCAACTGTAAGACAGTGACGATGAGCCGAGTCAGACATGTACTTAACACAACCAACACTACAGAACTGTTTGTTTACTGCCTTCCTATAGCCTTACAACAACACACCTAGCTCAATTGTGCTGAGGAATGCCATTCACCAGCATGTCTTAACTGTGGTCACTGTGTTAATGTGTGTGTGTGTGACACAGTCGTACAAGGAAACACAGACAGGATGCCAGGAAAACGGGTCCCAACCTCTTCTAGCACAGCTCCGTATAACAATCAGCCCATGACTTCCTGTACGGTAGCTGAGGTGGGAAGCCTCGAGTCGGCTCCTGGCTCTGAGATAACAGACGACGTGAGAAGCTATTCGCCTAATCTGTCTCCGGGTCAGTCACCTGGACAGTCACCTGGGGCATCCCCAGACCACCGGTCATTATCATCTACCCAAGGTGTGTACCTGACCAGCACCCCCATTATGTCCACTTCATCTTCTGACGGGGAACCTATTCTGTCGTCTGCTTCAGCCATCATGTCACGCCATGAGAAAAAGAAAAAAAAATGGTACAGACGACTCGGACAGCAGGTGAAGAAGTCGTTGGGTTCTAAAAGTGATTTAGTTACAAGACAGATGAGTAGGTCAGAGGAAGAATTGATCATTGTGTCTGGTCAATCAGTGAGAATGACCTCGTCATCTTATAACTTTGGCCATGCTAATTCTATGGTAAACCTGACACAGACAGTACCCGATGCAAAAGAGTACCGGCGTACAACTCTACACGAACTTCCCATGGATAGGTGTGCGTCGGACCAGTGCCTCTTAGGGGGAGGGGTCGTACCCCTTGAGACACAAAGTCTCCCCACCATGAGTCCAAAACGTTTCCATCAACTACAAGGTCAGAGTGACTTGTCTCTGTCCACTCTGGACTCAGACCAATCGGACATTGATAGTCGGTCAGATACCCTTGATGATGATTCGGCTATTAGTGTCACCAGCAGGATTATTTACTCACTAGAGGAAAAGTCAGATTTTCAGGTACAGTATATATATGTGGCAGGTTTTAATTGTATATATAGGATTAAGGTCGCCTTCTAGCTTTGAGCTAGAGGGAATTTCCCTTTGGCTCAGTGGTAGAGCGTCCGACTAGGAACCTGGAGATCGAGGGTTCAATCCCCAATGGAAGCACACTATTCTGTTTCTTGTTACATATTTAGACAGTGTGTATATAAGGGTACAGACTCGCTATGTGAGATAAAAGAAAAAACAAGGTAGGAGAGACCAACCCTGCATTGTATACCTGATTGCCAGGATATATAAAGGCCAGGGTTTTTATGTAACTGTAAAATAATCACACATTTTGGAACCTTATATTTAATCATTCTAACCAGTGATTTGGCTAAACTATTCCTTTACATATTCTGGGAGACTCCCTATTTTGGACTCTTGAAATAAGTATTTTCACCCAATGAATTTGCTGAACTATTCTTACATTCCAATTTCTTAAGATTTTATCTGATATAACAACTCAAAATATGTCATTTTAGAGGGTTGTATGGTCCCTAGGGTGTACATACACACATTTTATTTATGTTTGAATTTTGAGCATGCAGAATCTCCCCGATGGAAATTTCAAAAGGTTAATTGGCAAGTATAAATATCATTATATCTGAGGCTTGACCATTTTATACTGTTTAAAAGGTATATTTTATTTTATTTGATCATGGGAAATTTTAGGAGATAATCTAGTGTTTTCACATTATATTACATTACCATGTGTACCATGAATTATAGGCTTCTATTATTATTTTAAAAAATTTGAGTCTGACAGTTGGTACCATGAGTGTTGGTCCTCTGGTAATTTTAATTTCGAGTGCGATTTTACCATGCGTAAGTTTGGTGACAGTTTGTGTGTGCATGTAAGAATGTATGATGTGTCAGTTTTTGGTGACTTTTTTTGTCAATATATCCAGTTTACAATAGGACAAAAAAAATCATTGTTCATTATTAATCTGTAATCGCATTAGAGCCAGCTCCATATCCTGCTTTCTACCGCTCTGTAGGTTATCAGATACACCAGGCTAATACTCGACAACAAACATTGTCAGTCCACTTCCTGAGATCAGTAAAAAATTAAAACCCGTTCAAATTTTAATTTTATTTCATATTTCAGATCAATATCAAAATAAAAGTTGACAGGCAAGCACTAAAACAGACTTTTTACTTCACCAAATTTAGAGCAACTTTCATAGGAAATAATGTTTTTTATGTCATTGACAACTAAGATAGGAGTTAAGTCTACAACTGTTTTATGTTCCTCGAGGCTGTTGGTTTGATGTCCTGACCAACATAATTCATGACCTTATTAGTGACAATGGTGACAGACAAAAGCTCACCAATGCTGTAATGTACAGTGTGTCTTGACAAAGACTTTAAACAGTTAAACATGTCATTATTCAAATATTGAATGTAGGAACTCAAGTGAACGGAGTGCCACAGCTTTGTGCTGCTATTCTGATATGTTGGTCAGATCCTGTTGGGAAGCCCTACCCCTCACCCCCACCCTCCTATTCCAACCCAACCTCTACCCCTCACCCCCACCCTCCTATTCCAACCCCACCTCTACCCCTCACCCCAACCCTCCTACTCCAACCCCACCTCTACCCCTCACCCCAACCCTCCTACTCCAACCCCACCTCTACCCCTCACCCCAACCGTCCTAC